CTCAGAAAACTATAAAATACTCATGAAAGAAATTGAAGAAGACACAAAGAAATGGAAAAACGTTCCATGCTCATGGATTGGGAGAATCAACATTGTGAAGATGTCAATGCTACCTAGAGCAATCTACACATTCAATGCAATCCCCATCAAAATACCATCCACTTTTTTCAAAGAAATGGAACAAATAATCCTAAAATTTGTATGGAACCAGAAGAGACCCCGAATAGCCAGAGGAATACTGAAAAAGAAAAGCAAAGCTGGCGGCATCACAATTCCGGACTTCCAGCTCTATTACAAAGCTGTCATCATCAAGACAGTATGGTACTGGCACAAAAACAGACGCATAGATCCATGGAACAGAATCGAGAGCCCAGAAATGGACCCTCAACTCTATGGTCAACTTATTTTTGACAAAGCAGGAAAGAATGTCCAATGGCAAAAAGACAGTCTCTTCAACAAATGGTGTTGGGAAAATTGGACAGCCACATGCAGAAGAATGAAACTGGACCATTTCCTTACACCACACACAAGAATAGACTCCAAATGGTTGAAAGACCTAAACGTGAGACAGGAGTCCATCCAAATCCTAAAGGAGAACACAGGTAGCAACCTTTTCGACCTTAGCCGCAGCAACTTCTTCCTAGAAACATCGCCAAAGGCACGGGAAGCCAGGGCAAAAATGAACTATTGGGATTTCATCAAGATAAAAAGCTTTTGCACAGCAAAAGAAACAGTCCACAAAACCAAAAGACAACCGACAGAATGGGAGAAAATATTTGCAAACGACATATCAAATAAAGGGCTAGTATCCAAAATCTATAAAGAACTTATCAAACTCAACACCCAAAGAACAAATAATCCAATCAAGAAATGGGCAGAAGACATGAACAGACATTTCTCCAAAGAAGACATCCAAATGGCCAACAGGCACATGAAAAAGTGCTCAACATCACTCGGCATCAGGGAAATCCAAATCAAAACCTCAATGAGATACCACCTCACACCCGTCAGAATGGCTAAAATTAACAAGTCAGGGAACGACAGATGTTGGCGGGGATGTGGAGAAAGGGGAACCCTCCTACACTGTTGGTGGGAATGCAAGCTGGTGCAACCACTCTGGAAAACAGTATGGAGGTTCCTCAAACAGTTGAAATTAGAGCTACCGTTCGATCCAGCAATTGCACTACTGGGTATTTACCACAAAGATACAAATGTAGGGACCTGAAGGGGTACATGTACCCCAATGTTTATAGCAGCAATGTCCACAATAGCCAAACTGTGGAAAGAGCCAAGATGCCCATCGACAGATGAATGGATAAAGAAGATGTGGTATATATACACAATGGAATATTATGCAGCCATCAAAAGGAATGAGATCTTGCCATTTGCAACGACGTGGATGGAACTGGAGGGTGTTATGCTGAGTGAAATAAGTCAATCAGAGAAAGACATGTATCACATGACCTCACTGATATGAGGAATTCTTAATCTCAGGAAACAAACTGAGTGTTACTGGAGTGGTTGGGGGTGGGAGGGATGGGATGGCTGGGTGATAGACATTGGGGAGGGTATGTGCTACGGTGAGCGCTGTGAATTGTGCAAGACTGTTGAATCACAGATCTGTACTTCTGAAACAAATAACGCAACATATTTTAAGAAAAAAGGAAAAGAAGAAGATAACAGGAGAGGAAGAAAAGGGGAGTATGTCAGAGGGGGAGACGAACCATGAGAGATGATGGACTCTGAAAAACAAACTGAGGGTTCTAGAGGGTAGGGGGGTGGGGGGATGGGTTAGCCTGGTGATGGGTATTGAGGAGGGCACGTTTTGCATGGTGCACTGGGTGTTATGAACAAACAATGAATCATGGAACACTGCATCAAAAACTAATGATGTAATATATGGTGATTAACATAACAATAAAAAAAAAGAGAAGTGTAATCCATGCAAAAGTGATGGGGCAGCTCCGTCTATTTCAAGTTCTTTGAGGACAGAAAAAGGTATTTTCAATGTTTTTCCAAAATACTGAGGTGAGACTGGGGTGTAAATGTCAAAATTTCCATCAGAAGGGAGCTTACGGATACTTATGAAACATCATTCTACTTTCCTGAAGATATGAACAAAATAGCCACAGATGATTCTGTAATTGATCAAGAGGTGATTTCATCCTGTTCATGAAATGCTGGCTTCTCATTGGACATAAACAAGCAAAACAAACAGACAAGTAACTGCAAAAGTGAAATAATCTTTAATTACAAAATCTCTAATATGATTTAACAAGATCTAAATAGCATTTTATTTTATTTTTTTAAGATTTTATTTATTTATTTGACAGAGAGAGACACAGCCAGAGAGGGAACACAAGCAGGGGGAGTGGGAGAGGGAGAAGCAGGCTTCCCGTGGAGCAAGGAGCCTGATGTGGGACTCGATCCCAGGACCCTGGGATCATGACCTGAGCCGAAGGCAGATGCTTAACAACTGAGCCACCCAGGTGCCCCCAAATGGCATTTTAAAGTTTCCCTTATAATCTCAGGCTTATTGTTACCAGCACATCCATACATGGTGACACTGAATGTCTAAAAGCAGAGTCTTTTGATTACCCAGAAAGTGGATTTAACTCTTGAATCTTGACTCTTTCCCAAGCTAGCTGTGTAATTTTAGAACATCTCAAATCCTCATGTTCAACAAAGGTGAATGAGGAGTAATAATGCTATGTACTGTATACACATATACAGATTGACGTATAAAGACTTTCTTGTTGCTTATAGAACATAGACTAGGCTCCAAGTGGACGTGTATGTTAAGGTTGGCAAACAATGTCGTCATGGGACAGGCTTGTACAGGGAAGTTGCAAAAGTTTAGGAGAAAAATGTTAATAGTTAGCAGAAGAGGGATACCCTTCCAAGACTTCAAATGCAAGTGAACAGATAGATTTACAGTACTGTTCTAAGGAAGAACAGATTCAAATAAGTATTTTATAACATGGAACTTACCACTAAAACAGATCAGCAAGCTGAAGAAACTCTTGATCTCTGATTCTGCTGTGAGATAGTGGTCATGAGAGAAAGAATGAGTTACCCTGGGGTGGGGTGGGGGGCTGTCATCCAAGCTAAGGTATAGATTTCAAGGAAGAAATTAAGCAAAAGAAGGCCTGCATGGACCTGTTGGGGAAGCCAATTGCATGGTGAAATGAAAACAGACTGAGAAATCCTGGAGATCACAGAAAATCTCCAAGGCCCTTGTGTGTGAGAAAAGGCAAATTGAAGAGACTCTAAGACTTCATACATCACACACACCTGAAGCCCTACAGGGTGTGACCCATTTTTCCCAAAGCAAGGTAAATACAATCATCCCATTCTAAAAATAATATTATAGCTCATCAGACTGTGCTAATCACCCAGATTTTTTAAACATTACCTTATTTAAGTCCCATACCAATGCTATAATATAGGTCTCATTACTGTCTTACATTTTTTGCAGATGGAAATAAGAGGTTCAGATAAGTTAGGTTAGTATTAATGACTCCTCAAAAGTAAATGGTGGTAGGGCTGCTATATACTTCATCCTGGAGCCTAAGCTCTACGTCCGGTACTGTGCCTTCCCATCAGATTGCCACTGCTGGCTATCCTGCCGCCTATTGCTCCACTGCCCCACCACATCTACTATGCATGTATCTCTTGGATACTTCACTAGGAAACCTCAATGAATTTGGGCCAATGGAGACAATGAACAATTGTACTGAGTTAAATTCAATTTGATTCAAATATAGTTTAGACTCTCACCTTAGGAACCACTCAGTGTGTGCTCAAAGGTTGGCTTGGGCCCAAGCATGGCTTGTCAATTAATATTCATTTGAAATATAAAAAATTATTCAATCTCTGGGCATCATAATTTACTTTCTTTTCATCTTTTTAAAAGATTTTTAAAAGTAATCTTATACTCATTGTGGGGCTCAAACTCACAACCCCAAGAGCAAGAGTTGCAGGCTGTACCGACTGAGCTGACCAGGTACCCCTCTGTATTTCATAATTTAAATGAACATAATTACAAATCAAACTCACAATGTTCTTGAGAGGATGTGATGAATATACAAATCTTCTTGTACTTACAATGAGGTTATGTCCCTAGAAACCCATTGTACACTGAAAATATCGTAAGATGAAAATTCATTTACTACATATGACCTACTGAACATCATAGCTTAGCCTCTCCTACCTTAAGCATGCTTCAGCACTTACCATTAGTGTACAGTTGGGCAAAAATCATCTCACACAAAGCCAGCTTGATAATAAAGCATTGAATATCTCAAGAATTTGTTGAATACAGTACTGAAAGTGAAACACAGAATGGCTGACCTTGTACAGGATGGTTGTAAAGGTATCAGTTGTTGACCCTCATGATCACCTGGATGACCTGGATCTGTGGCTCACTGCCCCTGCCCAGCACCAGGAGAGAGGATTGCATCTGCTATCGCTAACCTGGAAAAAGATCCAAATTCAAAATTTGAGGTATGGTTTCTACTGCATGTGTATCACCTTTGCACCATCATCAAGTTGAAAAATCACTAAGTCAAATCAACGTAAGTTGGGGACGGTCTGTACACCTACAGTGTCTACAGCAGTTCCTGGCAAGTCAGCAAAATGCAAGTATCTGCTTTTACTAGACATGGGAAAAGAGAACTGCCAGACGTATTCCTTCTGGACAAGCCATCTTGATCAAGTTAGTTAATTTTCTATAATCTCAGTTTATAAATTTATAAAATTTTAGAATTGAGGAGATGCTCCATACTTCAGAGTCAACAGTTTGTAAATCTATATGTAATTTTTACACTAACTTTTGATGTCAAGCTAATGTTTTATCCAGAGAATTTTGAAATACAGTCTTGCTCTAATGAAATACTGCATGCTGTATGTACACTTTTCAGGATAAGTTTCTTTGTTTATCACCCATTTCTTTATTTCTTTCTTCTTATAGCCATAGAGCATTTGTGGTTCTCAACTTGATGGATAACAGGGCAGAAGTGACACAGTGCCTCCTGCTGGGGCTAACCAATGACCCGGAACTGCAGCTTCCCTTATTCATAATGTTCATCCTCATCTACCTCATCACTCTGGTTGGGAATTTGGTGATTATCATGTTGATTCTGTTGGACTCCCATCTCCACACTCCCATGTACTTTTTCCTCAGTAATCTGTCTCTGGTGGACTTTTGTTACTCTACGACTGTCACTCCCAAAGTGATAGCTAGGTTACTTGTGGGAGACAAGGTCATCTCCTACAATGCATATGCTGCTCAGATGTTCTTTTTTGCAGCCTTCGCCACTGTGGAAAATTATCTCTTGGCCTCAGTGGCCTATGACCGCTACGCAGCAGTGTGCAAACCCCTCCATTACACCACCACCATGATGACAAGTGTGTGTGCTCGTCTGGCCATAGGTTCCTACATTTATGGTTTCCTAAATGCCTCTATCCACACTGGAGACACATTTAGTCTCTCTTTCTGTATGAACAATGTAGTCCATCACTTTTTCTGTGATGTTCCAGCAGTCATGGTTCTTTCTTGCTCTGATAGACATGTCAGTGAGCTGGTTCTTGTTTATGTAGTGAGCTTCAACATCTTTTTTGCTCTCTTGGTTATCTTGATTTCCTACATATTCATATTTATCACAATCCTGAAGATGAGTGGAGGATATCAGGAGGCTATATCCACCTGCGCCTCCCACCTCACTGCACTGTCCATCTTCTATGGGACAGTCATCTTCATGTATTTACAGCCCAGCTCCAGTCATTCCATGGACACAGACAAAATGGCATCCGTGTTCTACACTATGGTCATCCCCATGCTGAACCCTGTGGTCTACAGCATGAGGAACAAGGAGGTCAAGAATACATTCATGAAGATTGTTTTAGAGTCAAAATTGTCTCTAGGATTGTGATTTTAACATTGTATAATGTGCACTAATCTAGTTACAATAAGGCCGTAGTGAAATTAAGCTCCTGATGTGGTATCCTAACTTATTCAAAAGTCTCTTGTCCTGAAAAAAAACAAACATTATGTGTAAAACTACAAGCCTGAACAAGAATGGCTAAGATGGGGCTTAATTGTCAAAAACTTTGCTCAGGTAATGGGTTTATTCACTTATGCTACATGCATTTTTTTCTACCACATCAATGCAGAGACACATAAAATAGGGGCACAAATGAGACCATGAACAGAAGTGCATGCGTGTGCCCATGAGGATACATACACACTGGAGTAGGAAATTTTCCAGAAGTAAGTGGAATGTTGATAGTTTTTAATAATAATAATTTAAATATCTAATTCATGTATTAGAATAGAAATTTATGTCCAATATTTTTCACCTTTAGTTGAATTCCATTCTAAGAGTCCTAACTTCAGAATGAAAATAATATACTATTCCCTGAAACAAATACATTATATGTTAATAAAAATTTTTTAAAAATAAAATAATATACTATTAAATGAAAGGATCTAATTTTAGGGGGCTCATTTTATTGAGAGATACATACATATAACATCTTAAGTGAATTAATATTTCTGTCTTAACTGAGTCCTTACATAGAACTAACATGCTCATATTATAGTCTTCAAAAGGTAAAAAACAGGGGGCGGAGCAAGATGGCGGAGGAGTAGGAGACCTGGATTTCGCCTGGTCTCAGGAATTCAGCTGAATAGGAATCAAACCATTCTGAACACCTACGAACTCAACAGGAGATCGAAGAGGAGAGTAGCAACAACTCTCTGAACAGAGAAGCGACCACTTTCTGGAAGGTAGGACGTGCGGAGAAGTGAATCCGAGGTGATATTCGGGAGGATAGAGGGCAGGGGAGGGGGCCTCCCTCGGCCGCTTCTGGCAAGTGCTAGAGCCGCGGAGCACAAAATCGGAACTTCTAGAAGTCAGCTCCGCTGAGGGACGTCGCTGCAGTGGCTAAGCGGGGGGTGGAACACTCGCGGGACAGTGTGGTCTCAGGACCCTCAGGGTCACAGAAAGACCGGGGGTGCCTGAGCGCAGCAGAGCTCCCAGGTATCGGAGCGGGGAAGCCGGCTGCAGAGACGGAGCCGAGGTGCGGGCTCTCAGCTCGGGGTTGCCATAAACTGATCCGTGGCCCAGTCGGGCCACTGCTCCTCCAGCAGGGACACAACAAGTGGCAAATCTGGGGAGACTCCCCTCCCTCCCCCAGGAGGAGCGGCGCGGAGCACACCGCAGGGATCTGCTGGGTTTGGAGACTCCACACGGGGTCGGGTGGCAGAGATCGAAACGCTCAGTCACAGGCCAGGTGAGCACGGAGTGCGGCCGGAGACCAGGGAGATGGGAGTGACTGCTTTTCTCTTGGGGCGCACTGAGGAGCGGGCCCCGAGTTCTCAGCTCCTCTGAGTGGAGATTGGGAGGCCACCATTTTCACCCTGGTCCTCCAAAGCTGTACCGAGAGCTTGCAGGGAACAAAAGCTCCTAAGAGCAAACCCAAGCCGATTGCTTAGCCCGGACCGACAGGGCGGGGCAATTCCGCCTCTGGCAAAGACATTTGGGAACCACGGCAACAGGCCCCTCCCCCAGGAGACCAGCACGAACAGCCAGCAAGCCAAGACCAAGTTTACCGATCAAGGAGAACGGGAGAACTCCAGCGCTAGGGGAATACTGCACATAGAATTCATGGCTTGTTTTTACCATGATTCATTAGTTTTTCAAAGTTAATTTTTTTAAACGGTTTTTTTAATTTTTCTTTTCCCCTTTTTCAACCAACATCTTATCAATTCCTTTTTTAAAAAAAAACATTTTTTATTTTTCATTTTTAGAGTCATATTTTATCCCTTCATAGTAGTTACCCTTATTTTTCACATATATATATATAATTGTTCTCTCTTTAAAATTTTGAGATACAGTTTCTTCTAACAGATCAAAATATACCCTAAATCACTAGTGTATGGCTTTTTTCTAGTCCCCTGCCTGATCACATTCTCTCCCTTTTTTTTCTTTTTCTTTTTTTTTTTAAATCTTCTTTCTTTTTTCAAACAACTTCTTATCGTATCAATTCCTTTTATAAAATCTTTTATAATTTTCACCTTTACACTCATCTTCCATCTCTTCATTGTATCAACCCTTATTTTGTACATATGTAAGTCTTTCTTCTTTTAAAATTTTAGGAGGCACTTTTTTCTAACAGACCAAAATACACCCAAAATCTAGTGTGTGGCACTGATCTATGCACTAGCCTAATCATATTTGATCATACTCGTTTTTTTTCATATTGTTCTGTTTTTGTATTTATCTTTTTCTTTTTTTTTTCTTTCTTTTCTCTTTCTTTTTTCTTTCTTTCCCTTTCTTTTCCCCTGGTTTCAGGTCTTTCCTGAATTGTATAGAGAATATTTGCTGGGGAGGTTGTTAACCTTTTAGCATTTTGTTCTCTCATTCATCTATTCTCCTCTGAACAAAATGACAAGACGAAAAAGTCACCTCAGCAAAAAGAACAAGAGATAGTACCGTCAGCCAGGGAACTACTCAATGTGGACATTAGTACGATGTCAGACCTAGAGTTCAGAATCATGACTTTAAAGATACTAGCTGGGCTTGAAAAAAGCGTGGAAGTTATTAGAGAAACCCTTTCTGGAGAAATAAAAGAACTAAAATCTAACCAAGTCGAAATCAAAAAGGCTGTTAATGAGGTGCAATCAAATATGGGGGCACTAACTGCTAGGATAAATGAGGCAGAAGAGAGAATCAGTGATATAGAAGACCAAATGATGGAAAATAAAGAAGCTGAGAAAAAGAGAAAGAAACAACTACAGGATCACGAGGGCAGAAGTTGAGAGATAAGCAATACAATAAGATGAAACAACATTAGAATAATTGGGATCCCAGAAGAAGAAGAAAGAGAGAGAGGGGCAGAAGGTATATTGGAGCAAATAATAGCAGAGAACTTCCCTAATGTGGGGAAGGAAACAGGCATCAAAATCCAGGAGGCACAGAGAGCCCCTCTCAAAATCAATAAAAATAGGTCAACACCCCGACATCTAATAGTAAAACTTACGAGTCTCAGAGACAAAGAGAAAATCCTGAAAGCAGCTCGGGAGAAGAGATATGTCACCTACAATGGTAGAAATATTAGATTGGCAACAGACCTACCCACAGAGACCTGGCAGGACAGAAAGGACTGGCAAGATATCTTCAGAGCACTAAATGAGAAAAATATGCAGCCAAGAATACTATATCCAGCTAGGCTGTCATTGAAAATAGAAGGAGAGATGAAAAGCTTCCAGAACAAACAAAAACTAAAGGAATTTGCAAACACGAAACCAGCCCTCCAAGAAATATTGAAAGGGGTCCTCTAAGCAAAGAGAGAGCCTAAAAGCAGCAAAGATCAGAAAGGAACACAGACAACATACAGTAACAGTCACCTTACAGGCAATACAATGGCACTAAATTCATACCTTTCAACAGTTGCCCTGAATGTAAATGGGCTAAATGCCCCAATCAAAAGACACAGGCTATCAGACTGGATTAAAAAACAAGACCCATCCATATGCTGTCTGCAAGAGACTCATTTTAGACCCAAAGACACCCCCACATTGAAAGTGAGGGGGTGGAAAACCATTTACCATGCTAACGGACACCAAAAGAAAGCTGGGGTGGCAATCCTTATATCAGACAAACTAGATTTTAAAACAAAGACTGTAATAAGAGATGAGGAAGGACACTATATCCTACTTAAAGGGTCTATCCAACAAGAAGATCTAACAATTGTAAATATCTATGCCCCGAACATGGGAGCAGCCAATTATATAAGGCAATTAATAACAAAAGCAAAGAAACACATTGTCAACAATACAATAATTGGGGGACTTTAACACCCCCCTGACTGAAATGGACAGATCATCTAAGCAAAAGATCAACAAGGAAATAAAGACTTTAAATGACACACTGGACCAAATGGACTTTACAGACATATTCAGAACATTCCATCCCAAAGCAATGGAATACACATTCTTCTCTAGTGCCCATGGAACATTCTCCAGAATTGATCGCATCCTAGGTCACAAATCAGGTCTCAGCTGGTACCAAAAGATTGGGATCATTCCCTGCATATTTTCAGACCACAATGCTTTGAAACTAGAACTCAATCACAAGAGGAAAGTCGGAAAGAACTCAAATACATGGAGGCTAAAGAGCATCCTACTAAAGAATGAATGGGTCAACCAGGAAATTAAAGAAGAATTTAAAAAATTCATGGAAACCAATGAAAATGAAAACAAAACTGTTCAAAATCTTTGGGATACAGCAAAGGCAGTCCTGAGAGGAAAGTATATAGCAATACAAGCCCCATTCTCAAAAAACAAGAAAGGTCTCATATACACAACCTAACCCTACACCTAAAGGAGCTGAAGAAAGAACAGCAAATAGAGCCTAAACCCAGCAGGAGATGAGAAATCATAAAGATAAGAGCAGAAATCAATGAACTAGAAACCAAAAGAACAGTAGAACAGATCAACGAAACTAGGAGCTGGTTCTTTGAAAGAATTAACAAGATTGATAAACCCCTGGCCAGACTGATCAAAAAGAAAAGAGAAAGGACCCAAATCAACAAAGTCATGAATGAAAGAGGAGAGATCACAACCCACACCAAAGAAATACAAACAATTATAAGAACATATTATGAGCAACTCTATGCCAGCAAATTAGATAACCTGGAAGAAATGGGTGCATTCCTAGAGATGTATCAACTACCAAAATTGAACCAGGAAGAAATAGAAAGCCTGAACAGACCTATA